CCTGCAAGTCCAATAAAGAAAATGTATCAGGAGGAGGGTGTGATCAATTGGTCTGTGATGTTGAATTTTCCATAACTCTTAGGTATCACAGAATAATCTTTTTTGTTTTTGTTGACAGAGAGAGAGAGAGGTGAGGGAAGGAAAAGGGAGGGAAAGAGAGAGAGAGAGACAGAGAGAGAGAGAGACAGAGAGAGAGAGACAGAGAGAGAGAGAGACAGAGAGAGAGAGAGAGAGAGAGAGAGACAGAGAGAGAGAGACAGAGAGAGAGAAAATCCCAAGCAAACTCCATGCCTGGTGCAGAGCCCAACACAGGTTCCATCTCATGAACCGTGAGATCATGACCTGAGCTTGAATCAAGAGTTGGACACTTAACTGACTGAGCTACCCATGCACCATGGGTATCAGGAAATAATCTTAATAGCTGGTATCTGCATATACCTGTATGGCAGTTTACAGTGGCAAAGCATGTTTGTTGGTACAATAATTATACAGAACATCCTGTGAAAAATGAGTGCAATGATCAATTATGAGACATGCATCTGTGATGTTTCACTCAGAAGTTCATAATCCACATTAATGCATGCATTTAGTATGTGGCTCTGAGAAGTTAATGGAAAAGAAAACTGCTAACTTTTTTAAAACCAGGAATTTCCCAAATTATTTTTTTTAATTTTTTTAATGTTTTTATTTATTTTTGAGACAGAAAGAGACAGAGCATGAGCAGGGGAGGGGCAGAGAGAGAGGGAGACACAGAATCCGAAGCAGGCTCCAGGCTCTGAGCTGTCAGCACAGAACCCGACAGGGGGCTCGAACTCACGGACCGTGAGATCATGACCTGAGCTGAAGTCAGACGCTTAACCGACTGAGCCACCCAGGTGCCCCTCCAAATTGTTTTTTTAATTGAGATTTTGGGGAGTAATTTATAAGCAGTAAAATCCAACCATTTTAGGAATACAATTTTATGAGTTTTTATACAATCATGTAACTACCACCACAACCTAAGTGATTTTAAATCACAAATTGGGCCAACGTGGAATGTCTCTAGCTCCACTTTGGGAAATGTTTATTGAGGGTTTGTGAACATTTGCACATATATTATCCCACTTAACCCTCATGCCAGCTCTCTGAGCTACACAGTGATGGGGTTCAGGACACACTACCCCAAAATGTGGCACCTGGGCACGTTAAATACCTTAAGCTTAAAAAGTTTTGTGTAAATGGCAGAACCAGGAAGGCCACTCTGGCCTCCATCACTCTTTTTCCCTGAAACAGGCCATAAAACTCCCATGTGAAACGTACCCTCCCTACGCCAGGAGGAGGGAAGACATCACTAGAGACCAGGAATTTGGGGCCAAGAAGTCTATATAAACAAACCTTGTTAAACCAACCTTTATCTTCCTAGACACTTCTTCACCATCTACTACCTCCCGCCCAAGCTTCACAAAATGACTGTTTCTTCATCTAAAAGGTATAAAACCTTTTATACCTTCTTTGGCTCTTCATTCTCTTGTGGAGGCTCCCCTGTACACGTAAAAATTCAATAAAGTTTGTATCATTTTCTCCTATGAATCTGTCATTGTCAGTTTAATTTTCAGACACAGCCAGGGACCCTAAGAGGGTTGAGGAAAAACTTTTCCCCAATTGCAATACCATTATTTCTCTGTAAGACAGAGAAAGAAAGAGGCACAAAGTAAAGAATCATGCCCAAGGTCTCACAAACCTCCTCAGTGAAAGAGGTAGATTGAAACAGATCCTCTTTTCACTTGGCACAGTGGGAAAATAACAGATAAAACTACCAACAACTAAGACTATTTACGGAGTCCTTGATTCATCAAGCATCTCTTTAAAGCAGGTGCCGTAATTCTTAACATATAGGAGTTAAGTGTTGAGGGGTTAATCAATTTGCTCAAGGGTAAAGAGTTAGAAATTAGCGGGAAAAAATTCAAATCTAGGTCTTTCTGAATTCAGAGCCTGAAATCCCAGCTGCATCATACTGTGCTGTCCTATACAGTAGCCACTAGCCATATTTGGCTATTTGAGAACTTGAAATGTGGCTACTCCAAATTGATATGCGTGTAAATGTAAAATATACATAGAATTTTGAAGACATTTTAAAAATATAAAATATCTCAGTGATTTTTTATACTGATTACATGTTAAACAATATTTTGGATATATTGAATTAAATAAATTATCGTATTAAAATGAATTTCATAGGTGGCTCAGTCGGTTAAACATCCGACTTCGGCTCAGGTCATGATCTCACAGTTCGTGGGTTCGAACCCCGGATCAGGCTCTATGCTTACAGTGCAGAGCCTGGAGCCTGCTTCAGATTCTGTGTCTCCCTCTGTCTCTGCCCCTACCCGGCTCATGCTCTGTCTCTCTCTTTCAAAAATAAATAAACATAAGAAAATAATAAAATGAATTTCACCTCTTTTTACTTTTTAAAATGTGTCTCCTAGAAAATTAAAAATATGTAGCCCAGGGCGCCTGGGTGGCGCAGTCGGTTAAGCGTCCGACTTCAGCCAGGTCACGATCTCGCGGTCCGGGAGTTTGAGCCCCGCGTCAGGCTCTGGGCTGATGGCTCAGAGCCTGGAGCCTGTTTCCGATTCTGTGTCTCCCTCTCTCTCTGCCCCTCCCCCGTTCATGCTCTGTCTCTCTCTGTCCTAAAAATAAATAAACGTTGAAAAAAATTTTTTTTAATAAATAAATAAATAAATAAATAAATAAATAAAAATATGTACCTCATACACTGCTTTAATAAATAGAAGCTGACCAAACAATTTATTTCTTAGTGTTGCAGTCAAGAGATTTCCCCCTATTTTTCCATCCAGGGTAGAACACATCACCAGATACATTGTTTTATCCAGAGTTGGTTTGTTTCTGGAGGAAATAGTTAGAAACAGGATTCTTCCTCTGGTCCCCAGCTGTTTACAGTCATTTTCTTTTGCACCCACACAAGTTATTGCTTTCACTTTTGGTAGATTCATTTTTATTAAAAATATTAGCTAACCAATGACTTGTTAAAGACATACACCAGAAGGTTGCTTTTTTTTTTTTAAATAAAGCAATAAAATACAATGATCATGGGGAGTCAATACTGGACATTCAGCATTTAACCCACTGCATTTCCTTGCAGGGTGAACTAGCACCTGGGTGATGCCTGCATTCTGTCAGTCATGTCGCACGCTAATCCTGAAAAGCACATAATACCTCCTAAAATATCTCAAGGGGTTAGAAAGATGTTCTAAATATTTTTAAATCTCTAAAGAATAAGAATTGCCTAAAATATGTTCCTTCCTGAAACCTGCTTCATTTTAGTTCTAAATATTCTTTTAGTCCTTGATATTAATTTGATTCTAACTAAGGAAGAAGTCTTCATAAGTAAGAGTGTGCTTCTTTACTGGAATTATAGTGTATGTATATATGTATATATGTGTACACATATATAGTACATATATATGTGCATATGTGTGCGCATATATATGTATATGTATATGCATATGTATATGTATACTTACATATTTACCTATAGTGCCCACTACCTCCAAGTGGAGTCGAAATCTGGCACTTATCTATTATCATTTTATTTGTGTGGTTCAGTAGCTATCAACCTGTTTCTGTATTGGAATCAACTGGGGAAATTTTGAAAAACCCAAATGTTCAAACCTTACCCCTAGAAATTCTGATTTAGTGAATACGAAGTCTCCCTCAGCCCAATGAGAAAATCTGACGCACAACTGAGGTTGAGAACTATTTGTGAGGACAGTAAAACTAGTGTTTTAGGCTCCCTAAACTTACTTCTTTTTTTAATAAATATTTATTTATTTTTGAGAGCATGGGAGAGGCAGAGAGAGAGGGAGACACAGAATCCGAGCAGGCTCCAGGCTGTCAGCACAGAGCCTGATGCAGGGCTTGAACTCAAGAAACACAAGTTCATAACCTGAGCCGAAGTCAATGCTCAACTGACTGAGCCATCCAGGCGCCCCTCCCTAAACTTACTTTTAAAAAAGAAACTAGTTTGCACCCAGATCTCTCTTCTGTCCTCTGTGCCTGCAAGGATACTAAGCACCTCTGCTCAAATTTCTTACCAAAATCTCTTTGGCTTAGATGCTTTCCCTCAACCAAACGCCTACTAGGGTTTTTATAAGCATCACTCATTAGTCTGATGTTTATGTACGGTGGGTATATATGTGCATGAGTGTGTCCCAACTGGACTATAACTCTTTAAGGAGAAGGATAACATCTTTATGTTTACCACACCCCATTTTAGGCAAATACACATCACACACCGGGTACTTAGTTTAAAAAAAAAAAAAAAAAAAAAAAGAATGTTTCAAAAGTACCTACAATAATCCCCAACTTACAGTGGTTTGACTTACAATTTTTCAACTTCTTGGTGGTGTGAATCAGTGGAAACCATACTTTGAATTTTGACTTGTGATCTCTTCCCACTAGCCGTATTTGATAAGATATTCTCTCACGATACTGGCGGCAGCAGCAAGCTGCAGCTCCCTGTCAGCCACATGATCACAAGGGTAGACAACCAATATACTTACAACTGTTCTGTTTTCCACTGTCAGTACAGTATTCGGTAAATTGCATAAGATATTCAACACCTTCTTATAAAATAGGCTCTGTATTAGATGATTTTGCCCAACTGTAGGCTAATGTAAGTGTTCTGAACACATTTAAGGTAGGCTAGGCTATGCTGTGATGTTCAGTAGGTTACATGTATTAGATGCATTTTTGACTTACAGTATTTCCCACCTATGATAGTTTTATTGGGGTATAACCCCACTGTAAATAGAGCAAGGTCTGTAAGTAAGATCATGATGTGCTCTTAAGAACATCACAAAACAAATCAAATCCCTCCCCTAATAAACAGCCTTTTAACTGAAGATAATTGTAGCAGTTATGGATCTCAGTCCATATACTCAAGTTTGCAAGAAACATAATCTTCTAATATTACCCACACTCATGATTTTCTCCCCACTCACCCATTCCTTCACCTCAGATTACTAGAATCCATCACCTTGAAAGCAGTCCCGAAGGAAATGATACATTATAAACTTTCCTGCCGGAAAAAAAGAAAAAAAGCACCATCTCAGAATGTTTACAAATTGCATAAGTTTTCCTGAAATGCCATGTGTTTGAATTATCTATCATACCATTAAATTAAATGTGGCTAAAGTGTTATTGGGACTTTATGTATTATAAGTTTTATTGTAGGTATTTCATACTTATTACAGCCGAGTTTTCTGATCATAGTGATGTCAGAGTATTATTTACAGGAACAAACCTACCATCCATGTTGTTGTTGATGGGCAGGTTTAAAAAATTAAGAATTTTTTTTTTTTTCTGAGAGACCTCCTCCTCCAGGCCTATTTTCTGGCCCACAACCCAATAAAACTCTGTATTACTGACTTTCTGTTGGGATAAAATTTTAAAATAACTTTTGACCCACCCTATTAGGCCAGCGCTTCTTAAATTCTCTTCAGTGAAATACCAGCAAGGGAAGAAGACAGAGAATGTAGTATATAGCTGGATGTAGCCCCAAACTAAAATTTTGTTGCTGATTAGGATTAAATCTTAATGAAATTCTTCACCTCATTTCATTATACACCATTGCTTTAAATAGTAAAAAATGTTTCACTTCCCTGAATCTTTCAGTAAATTGATTTCATAGAAAAATATGTTTACTTTGTGGCTTTGAATAAATTGGCGATACACTTAAGAATAACCCTTAACTCCAGCTGGGAAGAAGAGGAGGCTTGGAGGAAAGGAAGGAGAAGCAGGCTCCACGTGAGAGCCTTGCATGGCAAAAAAAAGTTTCAGTTTGGAAACCCAGTGTTTGTTTGCTATGTTCATAATGTACCTTAACCCTTACTCCCTTAGACCCTGTTCCCCATTGTTTGCAAGCAGGACTTACCTTCTATAGGGCCATTAGAGCTTGAAGGTGCATTCCCGTCTGACTCATGACTCTCTTTCCAGATAGTACAAATGCCCTGCTTTTCCAGCTAATATTGAGCACTTATTATGTACCTGGTTTCGTTTTAAATTCTTTATATTTGTCAAGTCTTTTAATCTTCCCAACAAGCCTTTGATGAGGCTATTATTATTATACCCAATATACAGAAAAGAAAATTGAGATATAATTCCTTCAAGGTCACCCAGCTAGTGGATAACTGGTAGGGGACATTCCAACCTAGGCATTCTTAACCGCTGCAATATTGTGCTTTAAATGACTCAACATTTAAACTGTGTGTAAAATTAAAACACATAAAGGATTGATAATGTTGGATGTGTTATAAAGGGTTTTAAAGTAAACTTTTTATTCATATTGAATATTGAAACGTGCATAAATCATGTTCAAAAGTAACTATCACCCACATAGAGAAACAGAACATAACTAGAGGCCCCCCATCACCTCTTATGCTCTAAGTTTCAAAGTTCAAAATAATCATTCACTTAGTGTTGTACAAGCTGACCTCTATATCTATTTAAGACCCTAATTAAATTCATTTCCATAGTAATATACTCTTTCCAGAGTAGTGATCCTCAAAATGTGGTCCCCAGACAAGCAACCTAGCATCATCTGGGAACTTGTTATACTTGCAAATTCAAGGACCTCCATCCAGACCTACAGAACAGAAACTCTGGGCATGAAGCTTAGCAATTACGTTTTAACAAGCCCCCGAGATGATTGTGATGCACGCTAAGGTTGGAGAGGCTTGGATGTAAGTCCGTTGTAACGGTTTTGGTTGGTGATCACGTATTGTGTTAAGTGAATACTACCGCCTAAAGTGTTAGGCGTGGATAACGGTGACAAGTTCTAATCACCTACCTTTTTGAAGTACACTGCGGGTAAAATGCTTTCTATTTTAACTAACCGTGTTGCTGTTGCCGTCAATGTTGCATTTTATCAGGAGTATAAAGCAATGTTGCCTTTATCAGGCTCCTCACCTCCTAACCTCACTAGTCGCCCAGTCCGTAGTAGTCCAGTTTACCAACAAAGCCCGGCTGCAGCGTGGCGGGGAATTCAACATCCTGAAGCGGGAGCAGGCCTCGGCCAATCAAATGCAAGGCTTAAGTCGCTCGCCCACCCTGGCGGTGTGATTGGTGGTTTCCCGCCGGCGGAAGAGACCTTTCGAGGCACCGCCCAGGGCCCTCCCGCACTAGCCAATCGTCGCTCGGCGCCTGGGGCGGGGGCGCACTCGCGCGAGTGATTTAACATGGCGGAAAATGGTGTCCTGGCGGCTCCGAGCCCGCGGGGGCGTGCGGATGGGGAGGACGCGGAGCCCCCGGAAGAGCGAATGGCAGAAACGCCGAGAGATGATCAGGAGCAGTTTGAGTGCCAGGAACTGCTGGAATGCCAGGTGCAGGTGGGGGTCCCGAAGGAAGACCCGGGCCTAGTGGCCGAGGCTGAGGCGGTCGCTGCTGGCTGGATGCTCGATTTCCTCTGCCTCTCTCTTTGCCGGGCCTTCCGCGACGGCCGCTCTGAGGACTTCCACCGGACCCGCGACAGCGCAGAGGGTGAGTGCTGGGCGCGCCGGGTTCGGGGCTGCGCTGAGGCCGGGGGCGACGACGCGGAGCGGGGCGGGAACCTCTGCGAGCTGTCAAAGCCCAGTTTGCAGCGCAGTACCCCTGGGGGGTCGGGGGACCCGGGCTGCAGCGGCGCAAGACCCGAGGCTCTGAGTTGAAGTTGGTTCGAATCCCGCAGCCGCCTGTTTGCAGCTTCTCAGTTTTTCTCAGATTCTGTTTTTCTCTTCAGTAAAGAGAGAATTAGAATTAGACCGCCATTTAGAATTGATGCAGGATCAAACGAGTTAAAATGTATAAAATTGCCCAGCGTCTCAAGTCCTTTTTCTCCTTTGGCGCTTGTATTTTTTGTTTTTATCGACTCAGGTATTCCTGTGATGGCATTTATAAAGCGGTCACAGTGGCCTCCAAGTGACCCAGGCATCAGTGTTTTCTATTAATTTGTGAGCTTTTTAAATCTCATTTGGCTTGGTTGCCTGCAGAATAAAAGTAACTGTCAATGAAATTTCTTGCCTGCACAACACAGTCTGTAAGCGATGGACAAAAACAGATTCAGAGAAGACTGGCTTTGTCTTTTTTTTTTTTTTAATTTTTTTTTTCAACGTTTATTTATTTTTGGGACAGAGAGAGACAGAGCATGAACGGGCGAGGGGCAGAGAGAGAGGGAGACACAGAATCGGAAACAGGCTCCAGGCTCTGAGCCATCAGCCCAGAGCCCGACGCGGGGCTCGAACTCACGGACCGCGAGATCGTGACCTGGCTGAAGTCGGATGCTCAACCGACTGCGCCACCCAGGCGCCCCAAGACTGGCTTTTTCACTGAGAACAGAAAGATACGCTGGTATTTAATATAAAATTAAACACTTCAGAAAAACAGTATCGTCACATTTCATCTTCATGGTCATCCCGTAAATTAGGCAGGTAATCTTAGTTTATAGAGGAGTGGACTAGTCAAGCAGTCTAAAGTGTTGGTAGGTTAAAAGGAATGTTCCACACCTGTGCCTTATCTTCCGCTCCAAGAACCTTTCCATATACTGACTGTGTCAGATAGCACTAGAGCCACGGTTAATTACCATTAATTAGAAAGTTAAATCCTGAAATGAAGCCAGTTCGTTATACTTAAAATTATTTAAAAAGTCCACTTTGGGGAGAAAGGTGGGATTATCTGTGTATTAATGAATTTGAGTTGGAAACATTAGTATCAGCTCCTGTTTGGCTCAATACAGGCATAAATGGTGTTAAGAAACATCATTCATTGGGTAAATTTGTGGATCCAATTGGCTTTATTAAACAATTTCATGAATTGGGCAGCATCCCACCCAGCCAAGCGGGGAGGAGGGTGGAGAAGTTGTACAAAATGGAAGATTTTTATAGGAAGGAGGGCAGGGCAAGAAAGTTATAAGCAAAAGAAAAGGATTGTTCCAGTCTAGGTCCATTCCCTTTAGGAGGAACAGCAGGCGTCTTACGCAGATTACCTCATCCTTCTTTGGAGGATGGAGAAGGCCCATTTGGCAGACTTTTTGGCTCCAGTCACAAAATTCCTACCAACCGGTTTAGACTATTTGGGGAAGGTTGAAAGTGCAGCCAGATTTGGTGGTAAGCCCAGTTTGGGGACTTAGCCTGAGTGACACCATTTTGGGCCTGTGGTTTTCTTTTAACAATGGTTACATATAGAAATGTTTATGCATATTTCTATACATGTTTAGACACAGGTTAGTTAGTATATATTCATTTACTTATTCTGTTAGACGAAAGGGCACAGAAGCAGTGTAACCCTACGTAGTAACCTAGCACTGGAGGCTTGGTTTCTAATACCATTCCTTAATAAAGGGAACCAGCGCTCTTTGGAGAAATGGCCTGAATCTGACACTGGGACAGGAGATAGGACAGATGAACCTGGAGCATCTTGTGCCAGGAAGTAAGGAAGTGCTAACAGCAAACCCCCCAGACAAAAAGAACTTTTGGGGGTACAAAGAGAACAGGAGCCAGCTGTAAGAGCTCCCAATGGCCAGAGCAACTCGAGCAAGAAAATAGTTTGAATTCTAACCCAAAGGTAAAATATTTATCTGTGAGCCCATACTGATGTAAATAAATGATGGAATAAATAAGGAAATGAGATAAGAAACAAATCTCCTGCAGAAGAATTCCAAGTAATTTATGAAGCTACTATGTCGTCAAGGAGGTGAAACCTAACACCCCACTCCTTAAGTGTGGGCTGTGCAGAGTGACTTTATTCTGAGAAGTACAGTATGGCATTGGGGGAAGGATAACTTTACAGTAGAGAAGCCTAACAAAGATTAATTCACACCTAGGTCATCAAGGTCAACAGGAACGGTGACAGTTTGGCATTATATATACTTTATATGATGTATTGAATATGGAACTTTACCTCTTTGATCTTCCTCCCAAAACTTCTTAACTCCAATCAAATTGTGAGAAAAACATCAGACAAAGCCCACTACAAAATATCTCAAAACTGCCAAGGTAATCAAAACCAAGGAAAATCTGAGAAACTATGATGATGACTAAATGTAATGTGTCCTGGGTGATATCAGCAGAAAAAAAAAGGACATAAGTAAAAACTGAGGCAGTCAGAAAAGAGCATGGACTTTAGTTAATGATGTATTAATATTGATTTATTAAGGTAACCTGTACCATACATATACAAGATGTTATTAATAGGGGAAAGTGGGGGGAGGGTATATAGGACTTCTGTCTTCACAATAATTCTATAAATTGAAAATCTTTCTAAAAATTAAAGACTTCTTTTGAGGTTCTAGGTCAAGACCCGAGGAATAATCTAGGCCACCTCTATTTAATTTTTAGGATCAGGGCACAGAAAGCCAGAGAGAGTAAACTATTTTTTAAAGTTGCACTGCTAGTCAGTGACCTATAAATTGTGAACATAGTGTTGTCTCTGTATTTCCGTTTTGACTGAAAGGACTTCCTTTTATCTTTTATAGGATTTCATTTACTTTTCAAAACCACACAACTCTTGATGCTTTCTAGAAAATTCTTAGCTCTTTCATTCTGACTCACAATTATTCTCACACCTCACTTAACTTAGGCCGTTTCCAGACTGGGAAGCAGTTTAAGATAATGATTAAGAGCATGGGCTCCAGGGGAGGGGGGGGGGGGGCCGGGGCACCTGGGTGGCACAGTCCATTAAGCACCTGACTCTTGATTTTTTTCTGCTCAGGTGAGGATCTCAGGGGTCAGGTCATGGGATATAGTCCGGTCTCTGGCTGACGCTGACAGCAGAGCCTGCTTGGGATTCTCTCTCTTCCTCTCTCTGCCCCTCCCCTGAAGCAAGTTACTTACCTCTTGGTAGGTCAATTTTCTCATCTTTTTATTTGGGGTGGGGGGGGGTGCAGAGAGACAGTGAGAGAGCCCAAGGAGGGATTCTCCTGTCTGTCAACACAGAGTCTGATGCGGACTCGAACTCAGGAACCATGAGATCATGACCTGAGCCGAAATCAAGAGTCAGACACTTAACCGACTGAGCCACCCAGGCGCCCTCAGTTTCCTCATCTGTAAAGTGCTGATAATAGTATCTACTTAAGAGAGTTGTTGAGAGAAACACATGAACTGATAGATATAAAGCAAGGTTTCTCGACGGCTTCAATACTGTTGACACTGTGTGTTTGCACCACATGATTCTTTGTTCTGCGTACACACGAGTGGAGGGGGGTGAAGGTGAGGGTTCTCCTGTGCTTTGTAGGACGTTCAGCAGCGTCCCAGACCTGAACTACTAGATGCTAGCAGCATCCCCCTTCTACTCGTGACTTTCAGAATTGTCTCTAGACACTGCTGAATGTCCCCTAAGGGACAAAATCACCCCCATTTGAAGACCACTGGTATAGAGTGCTTAGAGTAGTGCCTGGTGTTAGAAGTGCTTAAATACAGTGGCTATTGCAGCCAGTCAGTAGATCTCCCTAACGTGTTTCTGTCAGCAGTGTTTGGTTACAGGTGAGGAGAAAGCAAATAACCAGGTTCAACCAGGGGAGGTTTTCATTGTTTTTATTTTGTTTTTTGGCTAGCAGGTACAAAGAACAGAAAGGCAGTGGTATTTGTAGGTACTGCATATGGACTAAATTGAATATGGAGGGAGGTGAGAGGTCTGACTTTCTTCCCTAGCATAGAGTAGATTCTTTTGTTTTGCTCCTATACCATACTTAATCTTTGTGGCATTAAAATTTTAATGGATCACTTGGCGTAACTTTTGGTTTCTGTCTTTAACATTGGCTAGCAGTAGCTGTTAAGTAAGTATTGAACTGTTTAAATTTTATATTAATTTTGTGCTCTCTCTGAATCTTGTTTAATTAAATTGTAGCTGGTTTTGGTCCAGATAATCTCTGGTATAGTTTAAGATTATGCTATTTTAGAATTGAGGAAATAAATACAAGTCAACGTATTTGTCTTTTATCTGCTTAGTAGCTGCAAGACCACTTTTTGGTTTTGCTGGTTGATTTAATCTTTATATACATCAACCAAGCCCTGGGTGAAC